ACCTACAAAGAGACTTAGACTCCCACACAATAATAATGGGACTTCAACATCCCACTGTCAACATTAGATCAACGAGACAGAAAGTTAACAAGGATATCCAGGACTTGAACTCAGCTCTGCACCAAGCAGACCTAACAGATATCTACAGAACTCTCCACTCCAAATCAACAGAATATACATTATTCTCAGCACCACAGTGCACTGATTCCAAAATTGACCACATAGTTGGAAGTAAAGCACTCCTCAGCAAATGTAAAAGAACAGAAACTATAACAAACTGTCTCTCAGACCACAGTGCAATCAAATAAGAACTCAGGATTAAGAAACTCACTCAAAACCACACAACTACATGGAAACTGAACAACCTGCTCCTGAAGGACTACTGGGTACATAATAAAATGAAGGCAGAAATAAAGATGTTCTTTGAAACTAATAAGAATAAAGACACAACATACCAGAATCTCTGGGACACATTTAAAGCAGTGTGTAGAGGGAAAGTTATAGCACTAAATACCCACAAGAGAAAGCAGGAAAGATCTAAAATTGACACCTTAACATTACACCTAAAAGAACTAGAGAAGCAAGAGCAAACACATTCAAAAGCTAGCAGAAGGCAAGAAATAACTAAGATCAGAGCAGAACTGAAGGAGATAGAGATGCAAAAGCCCTTCAAAAAATCGATGAATCCAGGAGCTCTTTTTTTGAAAAGATCAACAAAATTGATAGACCACTAGCAAGACTAATAAAGAAAAAAAGAGCAAGGAATCAAATAGATGCAATAAAAAAATGATAAAGGGGATATCACCACCGATTCCACAGAAATACAAACTACCATCAAAGAATACTATAAACACCTCTATGCAAATAAACTAGAAAATCTAGAAGAAATGGATAAATTCCTATACACATACACCCTTCCATGACTAAACCAGGAAGAAGTTGAATCCTTGAATAGATCAATAAAAGGCTCTGCAATTGAGGCAATAATTAATACTCTACCAACCAATAAAAAGTCCAGGACCAGACGGATTCACAGTTGAATTCTACCAGAGGTACAAAGAGGAGATGGTACCATCCCTTCTGAAACTATTCCAATCAATAGAAAAAGAGGGAACCCTCCTTAACTCATTTTACGATGCCAGCATCATCCTGATACCAAAGCCTGGCAGAGACACAACAAAAAAAGAGAATTTTAGACCAATATCCCTGATGAACATTGATGTAAAAATCCTCAGTAAAATACTGGCAAACCAAATCCAGCAGCACATCAAAAACCTTATCCACCACGATCAAGTTGGCTTCATCCCTGGGATGCAAGGCTGGTTCAACATATGCAAATCAATAAACATAATCCATCATACAAACAGAACCAAAGACAAAAACCACATCATTATCTAAATAGATGCAGAAAAGCCCTTCAACAGAACTCAACAGCTCTTCATGCTAAAAATTCTCAATAAACTAGGTATTGATGGGACGTATCTCAAAATAATGAGAGCTATTTATGACAAACCCACAGCCAATATCATACTGAACGGGCAAAAACTGGAAGCATTCCTTTTGAAAACTGGCACAAGACAGGGATGCCCTCTCTCACCACTCCTATTCAACATAGTGTTGGAAGTTCTGGCCAGGGCAATCAGGCAGGAGAAAGAAATAAAGGGTATTCAATTAGGAAAAGAGGAAGTCAAATTGTCCCTGTTTGCAGATGACATGATTGTATATTTAGAAAACCCCATCGTCTCAGCCCAAAATCTCCTTAGGCGGATAAGCAACATCAGCAAAGTCTCAGGATACAAAATTAATGTGCAAAAATCACAAGCATTCTTATACACCAGTAATAGACAAACAGAAAGCCAAACCATGAATGAACTTCCATTCACAATTGCTTCAAAGAGAATAAAATACCTAGGAATCCAACTTACAAGGGATATAAAGGACCTCTTCAAGGAGAACTACAAACCACTGCTCAGTGAAATAAAAGAGGACACAAACAAATGGAAGAACATACCATGCTCATGGATAGGAAGAATCAATATCGTGAAAATGGCCATACTGCCCAAGGTTATTTATAGATTTAATGCCATCCCCATCAAGCTACCAATGACTTTCTTCACAGAATTGGAAAAAAACTGCTTTAAAGTTCATATGGAACCAAAAAAGAGCCCACATTGCCAAGACAATCCTAAGGCAAAAGAACAAAGCTGGAGGCATCACGCTACCTGACTTCAAACTATACTACAAGGCCACAGTAACCAAAACAGCATGGTACTGGTACCAAAACAGACATATAGACCAATGGAACAGAACAGAGTCCTTAGAAATAATACCACACATCTGCAGCCATCTGATCTTTGACAAACCTGAGAAAAACAAGAAATGGAGAAAGGATTTCCTATTTAATAAATGGTGCTGGGATAATTGGCTAGCCATAAGTAGAAAGCTGAAACTGGATCCTTTCCTTATTCCTTATATGAAAATTAATTCAAGATGGATTAGAGACTTAAATGTTAGACCTAATACCATAAAAACCCTAGAATAAAATCTAGGTAATACCATTCAGGACATAGGCATGAGCAAGGACTTCATGTCTAAAACACCAAAAGCAACGGCAGCAAAAGCCAAAATTGACAAATGGGATCTCATTAAACTAAAGAGTTTCTGCACAGCAAAAGAAACTACCATCAGAGTGAACAGACAACCTACAGAATGGGAGAACATTTTTGCAATCTACTCAGCTGACAAAGGGCTAATATCCAGAACCTACAAAGAACTCAAACAAATTTACAAGAAAAAAACAAACAACCCCATCAAAAAGTGGGCAAAGGATATGAACAGACATTTCTCAAAAGAAGATATTCATACAGCCAACAGACACATGAAAAAATGCTCATCATCACTGGCCATCAGAGAAATCCAAATCAAAACCACAATGAGATACCATCTCACACCAGTTAGAATGGCGATCATTAAAAAGTCAGGAAACAACAAGTGCTGGAGAGGATGTGGAGAAATAGAAACACTTTTACACTGTTGGTGGGATTGTAAACTAGTTCAACCATTATGGAAAACAGTATGGCGATTCCTCAAGGATCTAGAACTAGAAGTACCATATAACCCAGCCATCCCATTACTGGGTATATACCCAAAGGATTATAAATCATGCTGCTATAAAGACACATGTACACATATGTTTATTGCAGCACTATTCACAATAGCAAAGACTTGGAATCAACCCAAATGTTCATCAGTGACAGACTGGATTAAGAAAATGTGGCACATATACACCATGGAATACTATGCAGTCATAAAAAAGGAGGAGTTTGTGTCCTTTGTAGGGACATGGATGCAGCTGGAAACCATCATTCTTAGCAAACTATCACAAGAACAGAAAACCAAACACTGCATGTTCTCACTCATAGGTGGGAACTGAACAATGAGATCACTTTGACTCGGGAAGGGGAACATTACACACTGGGGCCTATCATGGGGAGCGGGGAGGGGGGAGGGATTGCATTGGGAGTTATACCTGATGTAAATGATGAATTGATGGGTGCTGAGGAGTTGATGGGTGCAGCACACCAACATGGCACAAGTATACGTATGTAACATACCTGCACGTTACACACATGTACCCTAGAACTTAAAGTGTAATCATAAAAAAAAATAAAAAATAAAATAAAAAAAGAAAGAATTGTAGACTTTATTAAGTAAAATTTTATAAAGTTTACCTGAAGAGCCAATTGCAAGTGATTTCAAGAAATATAATTGATATTTCCCCGGATAAGTTCGTAGGAGAGGATGTACAAATAAATGTGACGTTGGAAGTTTGTGATTAATAAATATTTGAAGTCTAAAAACTCCATCTAAACAACAATGAATTGATACTATTACTCAGCCCTTTCCTCTGTACAGATAGAAGCTTCAGGACTCTGTGGGGTGGGACTTGGCTGCACCTCTAAAAGGAACGCCTTTCTACTGTGAAATAACATTCTAAATGCATTTCAATACCAAGATTTGTAGGTTAAGCCCTAGTGCATGTCTTGACTAGGGACTTAATCATTCCCAGAAATGGGTGATTTTGCCCTTGGTTGCTTATATTTATAGGTGTAATTAAGAATATATGTTATTTATGATTTTATCTTAATTTATATCACCATAACTTCATAAAAATGATATATAGATCCAGTTAATTATTAATTCTGTCATTTTTTTTTGTATTATTGAATTGCCACATTTGGGTTAGTCATTCCCATTATAATGAACACTGTTTTTTTTTCCCCAAGATTTTGTTGAACAATTGAATGAACACTTCTGGCATGACTGTCATCCATTGGAACATTTCAAAGCTTGCAGTGAGTTTATATTTACTGTGAATAAGATGTAGAGCAGCTGGGTTAAAATGTTATAATTTATGTTTCCTCCCCTTGACATCATCAATCTTTCAATATTTTTTCCAGTCAATGGTGTAATTTCTGAATATTAATCATTTATCTCTTCTACAATTTGAAAGAAATGTTTCCAAGTTGATCACTGGTGTTTTATGTATTTATTTAATTTATTTTTTGAGACAGGGTCTTGCTTTGTCGTCCAGGCTGGAGTGCAGTGGTGCGATCTCGGCTCACTGAAACCCCCGCCTCCCAGGTTCAAGTGATTCTCCTGCCTCACTCAGCCTCCCGAGTAGCTGGGACTACAGGCATGTGCCACCGTGCCCGGTTAATCTTTGTATTTTTGGTAGAAACGAGGTTTTGCCATGTTGGTCAGGCTAGTCTCAAACTCCTGATCTCATATGATCCACCCACCTTGGCCTCCCAAAGTGCTGGGATTTACAGGCATGAGCCACTGCACTCGGCAATCACTAGTGTTTTAAATCTGTTTATGATAATCTGTTTTTCATCTAGAAGATTTCAGTGGTAATGGGGTCAAACTTACCAATCTCTTCATGGCTTTGGGGTTTTTTCATTCTATTTAAGAAGGCGTTACGATTTATTTTTACTTACAATGTCTTGCATGTTTTTTTCTCATAGTTGTTTCTTCATTCCATCCATAAGTTCTCATTTTTCAAAATTCAATTTCTAGAATAGATAATTATAAGGTTCATAGTCAAACAATACAAAAATGCATACAGTGAAAGTGCTAGCTCCAACCTTGTTTCTTTTTTTTCTAAGCCTTTTCTATCCTAGGGAAGGTAAGTTCTTTCATTTGTGGGATATATATATAAATCTTATATATATAAGATATTATTCTTATATATATTCTTACATATATGATATTCTTCCAGAAGTTCTTTATGCATATCAAGTAAATAGAAATATAAGATACTGATTTTCCAAAATTGTGAAGTATGGATCAATTCATATTTTTTTCCACCAGATATCTAATTGTCTGAACATCATTTTTCCATCCTTTCCACATTTATTTTATTTATTGTTATTATTATTTGAGACAGTCTCGCTCTGTCACCCAGGGTAGAGTGCAGTGGCATGGTCTCAGTTCACTGCAACCTCTGCCTCCCCAATTCAAGAGATTCTGTGCCTCAGCCTCCCAAAGTTCTGAGATTACAGGTGTGTGCCACCATGCCCAGCCAATTTTTGTATTTTTAGTGGAGATGAACTTTCGTCATGTTGGCCAGACTGATCTTAAACTCCTGGCCTCAAATGACCCAACGGCCTCAGCCTCCCAAAGTGCTAGGATTACAAGTGTGGGCCACCACACCCGGCCTCCACATTGATTTTAAGTGCCAATTTACTCACATCATAAATTCTCATACACATGTGTAACTGTTTTAAATGGGTTTTTTAACATTTTTATTCCTACTTTGTCCTTCCTGTGTCAATAACATTTTTTCTTGTTCCTTTTTTCCAGGTTTGCTCCTCTGTGAAGCAATGGAACAGACTGTGTTTCCAGGCTATTTACTTAGTTACAACCCTGCAGAACTCAGCCCCATTCATACTTTTAAACTCACATCAGATCATCAGATTGTATCACCAGCTCCCAGTCTCCTGACCCCCATATTCCCACTGTGCTCCATGCCTCTCTCTCCCCCTATTTAGCAGGTAATGTTGTCATTTTTTGACAGTCTTTCCTTTACACTATGGCATCCTATTATGAAGATACTAGGATTATCAATTTTGTATCTCCAGGATCTAGCCCAGTGCCTGGCACATGGTAGGTGAACAATAAAAACTTGTTAAATAAGAATAGAAGGCTGACTGACCAAATGAATAAATGAATGAATGAAAGAGTGATTGAGAAAGATCTGCTCTACCTTCCTTTGCCATCCTAGACTGTCTCTTCTCACATTTTACTTCCATCACCATCATGGTCTTCCCCACCGTCCCTCTCTCTTATACTTGCCATCAGTGTGTGATGAATTATCCACAAGAATGGGCTGTATTTCAAACAAGGCCTACATCCATTTCTGACTAGGGCTCAAAGTCCAAATCTGTGTAAAAATTCTAGTTAGCTCAAGATATTCACCAAGCAAAAAGGAGATAAATATTTCTTACTAAGTTGAGGATGGCTGGAGAGAATTAGCTCACAAATACTAAGAATATTTTAGTATTACATATGTAATTTAAAAATATAAAAGGCTAGCAAATACGAAGTGTTATGGCATTGTTGTTTAATAGTCATTGCAATGAAACATTGGCTAGCTTGTAGAAAAAATATTAAAAATATTATACTTTCGTACATTTGAATATGAAAATGATTTTGTGGCAGGCAGCTTGTAAGATGGCCTCCAATAATCCCCACCTCCTCGTATTTCTGGCTTTGGGGTCCATTTCACTCGAGTGTGAGCCGGACCTAGTGACTTGTTTCTAATGAACAGAATTATGGTAACAGTGATGGCACGTTGCTTCTGAGATTAGGTAACAAAAAGACTGTGACTTCTGTGTTGTTCACCTTCTTGTTCCATTGCTGGCTCACTCCGAGGGAAGCCAGGTACCTGTTACGAGCTGCCCTATGGAAAGGTTCATACAGCAAGGAACCAATGTCCCCAGCCAACAGCCAGCAAGGCTGCTTCTAGTCACAGAATGAGCTGGCAAGCAGATCTTCCCTTAGTTGAACCTTGAGTTGACTATAGCCCCAGCCAACCTCTTGACTGCAGCATTGTGAAAGACCTGGTGTCAAAATCACTCAACTAAGCCACTTCTAGATTTCTGACCCACAGAACCATACAACAATAAATGTTTGTTGTTTTAAGCTGCTAAATTTAGAAACAATTTATTAAATAGTTATAGATAGTGAATAAAGGAGTTTATGTGTGGTGGGGGTGAGCTTATGAGGCAATATGAAGTTCCTTCATCAGGCAAAATATATACTTCAAGGCTTCACAGATAATATTGACTTTGGAGAATCTGTCATGGCCCTGGGTCTGACTTTTGATTTTGAAAGCCCAGAACTTGATTTTCAGCACAGCATGAAATAGATACATCATTTAGGGCAGACTTACATGAACCAAATTTATGAAATTGATATGACAAAACTAAATGCTAGTTTATTAACTTATGTGAACAAAAAATAATATGCTGACCAGAATACCAGAACATTTATGTCTTTGTGACCACCACTTTCTCTCCTTGAAGGCAAAATTTAATGTCAAATATGGAAGGGGTTGCTTGATGAACACAGAACAAAGGGAGTTTAATACAGGTTTCAAGTGTTTATTGGCAACAAGCTAAGTCTCCTATTAGGGATTATTTCATCCATGGAATCAGACAACTTGACAACTGTTGTCTACAACTTCCTTCATTTATGTCTGCCCCATGATGGACTCATCAGTGGGCCTGGAAATTCCCCAAATTACTTGTCTAAGGCTCTTTCCTTTTCTGGCTGGGCACTGGCTAACTTTTCATGCTGTAACTGGTTTTCCAGACTACCATTATGACTAACTCCTCTTTGGAATGAGAGATTTCTTCTTCTTCCTTCTTCTTTTTCTTTCCTCCTCCTCCTCCTCCTCCTCTTCCTCCTCCTTCCTTTCCTCACTCCCTCCCCCGCTCTTCTTTGGAATGAGAGATTTTTCTTCCTTTTTTCTTCTTTCTTTCCTCCTCCTCCTCCTCCCCCCCCCCCCCCCCCATTCAGCAGCTAGCAAAGGCACACCTCCTCCTCTTCCATTCAGCAGCTAGCAAGGCACAGTGGCTCACAGGTGTAATCCCAACACTTTGGGAAGCCTAGGCAGGTGAATCACTTGAACCTACAAGTTTAAGACTAGCCTGGGGAACAAGATGAAACTGCCTCTACTAAAAATGCAAGAATTAGCCAGGAGTAGTGGTGTGCACCTGTAATCCCAGCTACTTGGGAGGCTGAGGTACAAGAATCATTTGAACCCAGGAGGTGGAGGCTGCAGTGAGCCGAGATCGTGCCACTGCACTCCAACCTGGGCAACAGAGCAATACTCTGTCTCCCCACACAAAAATAAAATAACATAAAAAATAAAAATTAAAAAAAATCAGTGGCTAGATGTGTGGGTTTGTTACATGGATATATTGGGTGACGCTGAGGTTTGGGCTTCTATTAATCCTATCACCCAAATAGTGAACATAGTACCCAATAGACACTTTTTCAGCCCTTATCCCCCTCACACCCTCCCCACTCTTGGAATACTCAGTGTCTATTGTTCCCGTCTTTATGTCCCTGAGTACCCATTTAGCTCCCTCTTAGAAGTGATAACATTCAGTATTTGGTTTTCTGTTTCAGTGTTAATTCACTGAGGATAATGTCTCCTGGTTGCATCTATGTACCTGAAAAGGACATGATTTCATTCTTTTTATGACTATGTAGTATTCTATGGCATATATGTATGTTTCTTTATCCAATCCACCATTGGTGGGCACCTGGTTTGATTCCATGTCTTTGCTATTGTGAAGAATGCTGCAATGAACATATGAGTGCATATGGCTTTTTGGTAGAATGATTTTTATTTTTTTCTGTATGTATGTATGTATTTAGAGATAGAGTCTCACTCTGTCATTCAGGCTGGAGTGCAGTGGCGCAATCTCGGCTCACTGCAAGCTCTGCCTCCCAGGTTCACGCCATTCTCCTGCCTCAGCCTCCCAAGTAGCTGGGACTACAGGCACCCACCACCGCACCCAGCTAATTTTTTTATTTTTAGTAGAGATGGGGTTTCACCGTATTAGCCAGGATGGTCTCGATCTCCTGACCTCGTGATCCACCTGCCTCAGCCTCCCAAAGTGCTGGGATTACAGGCGTGAGCCGCTGCGCCCTGCCGGTAGAAGGTTTATTTTCCTTAGGGTATATACCCAGTAATGGAATTCCTGGGTCAAACGGTAATTCCATTTTTAGTTATTTTAAATCTCCAGACTACTTTCCACAGGGGCTTAACTAATTTATTAACCAACACTGTGTAAATGTTTCCTTTTCTTCACAGTCTTGCCAACATCTGTTATTTTTTTTACTTTTTAAAAATGGCCATTCTGACTGGTGCGAAAATGGTTTCTCATTTGGCTTTGATTTGTCTGATGGTTTGTAATGTTGAGCTTTTTTTTTTTATATGTTTGTTGGCTGCTTATAGGTCTTCTTTTGAGACGTGTCTGTTCATGTCCTTTCCCCACTTTTTAACGGTATTTTTTTCTTGTTCAATTATGTAAATTTCTTATGGATTCTGAATATGAATTAAACATTTTTCAGATGCATAGTTTACAAATATTTTCTCCCATTCTGTAAGATGTCTGTTTACTCTGTTGATAGTTTATTTTGCTGTGCAGAAGCTCTTTATTTAGATCTCAATTGTCAATTTTTGTTTTTTGCTGCATTTGCTTTTTAGACTTAATTATAAATTCTATGTCTAGGCGAATGTCCAGAAGAGTACACCCTAGGCTTTATTCTAGGATTTTTGTAGTTTGAAGTCGTACATGTAAGTTTTAAACCCATTTGGAGTTAATTTTTGTATGTGGTGAGAGGTAGCAGTCTAGTTTCATTCTTCAGCATATAGTCAGCCAGTTTTCCCAGCACAATTTATTGAATAGGATGTCGTCTCCCCACTGCTAATTTTTGTAGACTCTGTTGAAGATAAGTTGGTTGTAGACATGCGGCTTTATTTGTTGATTCTCTATTGTGTTCCATTGGTCTATTTGTTTCTTTTTGTACCAGTACCATACTGTTTTGGAGACTGTAGCCTTGTAGTACGGTATAAAGTCAGATCATGTCATTCCTCCTGCTTTACTCTTTTTGCTCAGGATTGCATTGGCTATTTGGACCCTTTCTTGTTTCCATATGAATTTTAGAATTGTTTTTTTCTCCTGACAGTAATTTAATAGTAATGTCATTGAATATGTAAATGACTTTGGGCAGTATGGACATTTTAGTGACATTGATTCTTCCAATCCATGAGCATGGAATGTTTTTCCATTTGTTTGTGGTATCTATAATTTATTTCAGCAGTGTTTTGTAGTTCTTGTTGCAGAGATTTCATCTCCTTGGTTAGATGTATTCCCAGGTATTTTATGATTTTGGAGGCTATTGTAAATGGGACTGCATTCTTGATTTGGTTCTCAGCTTGAATATTGTTGGTGTATAGACATACTACAGATTTTTGCATATTAATTTTGGATCCTGAAACTTTACTGAAGTTGTTTATCAGGTCTAGGAGTCTTTTGGTAGCATCTTTAGGGTTTTCTAGGTATAGGAGATTCTTTTTTTGGAAGTGTTAATACATGAATCAGAGTATAGTTTTCTCTTGCTGGCATCTTTAAAGTAAGTTTTACAAAAAGCTTTTTTTTTTTTTTTTTTTCAATTAGGTGAAGGATATGTTAATTAGCTTAACTGTGGTAATCATTTCACATTGCATACATATATCAAATCACGATGTTGTACACCTTAAATATATACAAATTTTATCTTCAATCATGTCTCAATGAAGTTGGAAAAAAAGAACTTATTATGATCTACACATTTATCCCCAAACTTTATGCATTGTCTCAATTTAATCCTTATACCAACCCAATGAGGTAGGTATACCTCTATCCTATTACCCATGAAGAAGCAAAAGCAGAGATGGGAACCTCTCTCAAAGACTCACAGCTAGTACATTACAGAAATTTTTTTTACTGACTCTACCTCACAAATAGACGGAGATATAGAAAAACAAATAACACTTTCTGTTTTTTTGTTTTGTTTTGTTTTTCTTTTTTTGAGACGGAGTCTCGCTCTGTCACCCAGGCTGGAGTGCAGTGGCCGGATCTCAGCTCACTGCAAGCTCCGCCTCCCGGGTTCATGCCACTCTCCTGCCTCAGCCTCCCGAGTAGCTGGGACTACAGGCGCCCACCACCTCGCCCGGCTAGCTTTTTGTATTTTTAGTAGAGACAGGGTTTCACCATGTTAGCCAGGATGGTCTCGATCTCCTGACCTCGTGATCCGCCCGTCTCGGCCTCCCAAAGTGCTGGGATTACAGGCTTGAGCCACCGCGCCCGGCCACAAATAACACTTTCTATTTCTATGGCCTCTACCTCAGTTGTTCCCAAATTGGAACAACTATCAGAATCACCGGGAGGATCTGTTAAAGCACAGATCACTGGGTTCTGTGCCCAAAGTTTTAAATTCAGTAAGTCTGGGGGTGGGGCCTGAGAATTTGTATTTTTAACATGTTCCCTGGTTGTGCTGATGTTGCTAGTCAAGGCTCTTATTAGGGATGATTTTAAGATGACTTTAAGAACCATTTTTTTTTTTCTGTTCCAGGTTAGCACCATCTCTCTTTTGGAATATTCCAATAATTTCCTGCTTCTCATCCGTTTTCTAAAGTACAATCAGAGTGATCTACCTAATTTTACTTAGAAATATTTATTGGGTGCCAGATATTCTACTAGAGGATGTAATAATGAGCAAAACAGACAAGGATCCTGATGTCACAATAACCTGAAGCACCCAGTTTGCCTGGAATACTTTCTTCCCTTGGCTGAATATTATATAATGATGTTCGTGATCTCCTTTCCATGGGTGTAAAACACAGAAGTAAATAATTAAAGTTCTATTCCTGTAATCAGCTCACAAAATGGTTGAGCCAGCTCTGTGCTCTTTGGTTTTGCTCTATGAAGTTGTTTGGTGGAATAATTTAAACTCCAGCTTGTTCTCCACATTAAGATAAGGTCAGAATGGCCTGACGGATGTTGGGTGAGCAAGAATATAGGAGAAAATTAAATAAGATTCTTTAGGTTCATTCTTCCAGTTTTGTAAAACTCTACACAACTATTCCTTCAACTGTAGAAGCGGGGAGGGCAGCAGGCATGGCTTGGCAATGTCTAGTAAATTCTGCCGTCCTCCTGTGAAGGTCTGTCTTTTATGTTTCTGCCCCTGCCCATAGCACCAATCCTAGCAAGAGGGAAGGCCAAGTGTTCTGGGCATGGTTAATACAGAAAAATCTTCACCACTGCCAGTCATGATTATCTTTGCTTCTCCTCCCTTTTACTCTTAACAGCTTGAAGTCTACTTTTTTGGGTAGGTAGAAGAGCCAAAATATTGCTCATCTGAAATTTTGGTTGTGTGATTCCTTGTCATTTATAGAATAAATTCTTGTTCTAATCAAAGAACCTAGAATTAAAATACAAGGCCCTGTCTTTCTTCACAGCACCTTGAGTTCTGTGCTCAAAACATGGCCCTGTTCCTCAGGCTGATGTAACAGCTCATGTTTTTCAGGATGCCAAGCTGGAGTATGGGGGCCAAGCTGCAGAGGTTGGTTGCTTTTTTGAGCATTTGATTTCTGTCAAAAGTAAACAGTAAGGCTTTAAATTGGGGAAACCCAAGAACAGGGTATGCATTTCTGTGCCATGTTTTTTGGTTGCTGTGTCAAGGACTGGAGGTAACTATAGGAAGGAAGACTAATGAGAAGGCTGTTGCAGGGATCTCCAGGGATCCTGAGGGGAAAAAATGGTGACCTAGATTGGTAATACAGATGAAAGGATGAGAAGGTACATGGATTCCTGAAATATTTGATGGTGCCAGGCATACTTTTTGGAACTTCATCCAGGGGGAGATAGAGAAGAATCAAGGATGGCACTGAGATTTTTGGCTTAGGCAAGGGAGTGGATGCTGAAGTCATTCCCTGAGATAGCCAATACTGGGAAGGAAGTCTGGAGGTGAACAAGATGAACTCAGTATGGATATGCTGAATTTGAGGTAGCTTTGGGACATTAATACAACTGGAATGACTAATATGTAGTTAAATAATCACATTACTCTAAGTGTTCAATCCTTATACTGTGTCACCATTGCTGAGATAACAAATTCCAAATTTCTTTTTTTGTGTGTTTCTCTTTCTTTTCTTTCCTTTTTTTTTTTTTTTTTTTGAGACGGAGTTTCGCTCTTGTTGCCCAGGCTGGAGTACAATGGCACAATCTCAGCTCACTGCAACCTCTGCCTCCCAGGTTCAAGAGATTCTCCTGCCTTAGTCTCCCAAGTAGCTGGGATTACAGGAGCCTACCACCAAACTAGGATACATTTTTTTTTATTTTTAGTAGAAACGGGGTTTCACCATGTTGGCCAGGCTAGTCTCAAACTCCTGACCTCAGGCGATCTGCCCACCTTGGCCTCCCAAAATGCTGGGATTAAAGGCGTGAGCCACCGTGCCTGGCTGTGTTTGTTTCTTAGAGATAAGTTCTCACTATGTTGCCCAGGCTGGTTTCCAACTCATGGACTCAAGGGATCCTCCTGCCTCGGTTTCCCAAAGTGCTGGGATTATAGGCATACCTGGCCACGCCCAGTCATTTTCCAAATTTCTTAACAAGACTTTTCAGCTTTACTTCTCCCACCTATCCATACCCACTGTTGACCAGCCCAAACTCATTTGGGTTCCTCAAAGGGTTTAGGCTTTCTGTAGTCTCAAGGACTACGGGCCAGCAGTTCTGTCAGGAACTGTTCTATTCTCCTTTTTGTGCATTCAACAAAGAATTCGTAAAATCAGCTGGGCGTGATGGTGCAAGACTGTAGTCTCGGCTACTCTGGAGGCTAAGGTGAGAGGACCGCCTGAGCGAAGGAGTTGGAGGCTGCAGAGCCATAATCGCGCCACTGCACTCCAGCCTGGGCAACAGAAGAAGACCTTGTCTCAGAAAAACAAAACAAAACAAAACAAAAACAAAGAGTTAGTGAGGGCCCAGGTAGGGTCTAGGTGCTGGGATAAAACAGTAAGAAAAAAGAAGACTTTCTCCTTTCCCTTGCCTCATTATAGTATAATAGCAGATTTAAATACTAATCTAATAACTACGCAAGAAAGAAAGAATTGCAAATGAGATCAGAGCTGCCAATGGAAGGCACCTAGTGGGAATGAAGGCCTACAACAGGATTTTCACATAGCGAGAGCTTGCCTGAGAAGATAGAGTTGATTCAGAGAGGTAGGAAAGAACTTTCTAGGCCGGGAGAACACCCCTGTGGAGGGCTGTAACTTGGCTAATTATGGGGAACTAGAGAAATTTGCTCTTTTCCTAAGACACCAGGAAAAGAGCAGGGGGAGAGACTTATCTATTTTGTCCCATAGCAGCCGCCATCTAGTGGCAGGCAGCTACAATCTCCTCGCGCCGATTACTGGGAGTTGTAGTCTTGACGTAAGCTAGCCGGCATGGCGTCCTGCATTGCAGCGGGGCACGGGGCTGCAATGGGTCTAGGTCGGAGTTTCCAAGCCGCCAGGACACTGTTCCCCGCGCCGGCCTCTTTCGCCTGCAGTAAGAGGAGCGGGACTTGCGAGCTGGGGCGCGTTAGGGGCCCAGGGTCAGGATGGGGGAGGCCAGCCTGTAGATGAGAGGCAACCCCAGAGTTGGTCCTCCGTGGGACACCGGGTTGGGGGAGATTGCGGGGCTCTGCGGGATCTCAGGGCTGGCACTAGAGTCCTGACCTTCGTCGTCCGCTCCCGCAGGGATCCACGCGGGGCCTGTCCGGCAGCACAGCACTGGGCCTTCCGAGCCCGGAGCGTTCCAGCCGCCGCCGAAGCCGGTCATCATGGACAAGCGCCGCCCGCCGGAACAGGAACGCAGGTGAGCCACTGCCCTGGCGCCAGGCCGGCAACTGGGGTCGGTGCGCGCGTGAGCGCGTTCGCGTTGGAGGTACCGGCTCTAAGGTGGGGGCTGCACCTTCCCCTGCACGAGCTGGTGTGTAGGATTCATGAGCCCGTGCACCACAGTGTTCTGTCTTCCTCGCTTCTCCCCAAGCCAGCATTGAACTTCTTTGCAGTTTTATTGAGTCAGAACTTCATGTAAGGATTCCCCATATTTTAAGCTCTTTCTTCTGTGGTATATGTCCTATACCAGAGTTTTTCTCTGAGGTACATCCTGTTTATACCTGTTTATGTCCAAGAGCCGTTCTTTTCTCTCAAAAGACCCCAACCCTGGATAGGAATAGATTGGCCTATTTAAAAAATTTGCTGTGGGTTAGGTTGGAAGTTTTGGCAGACAAGGCACAGTAATAATTGCCGCTAAAGTGTATCTGAAACTTAATCATCAAAACAGTGTGAATAAAAACTAAAATGAATGGTGGTAATCTTGGAGGTACATGTAAATTTAAAGGACTTAAGATCTGAAAAGAGAGCTGTGTAACAATCTTTTTAAAAAAACAGTTTTCAGAGGAAAAACCTGCTATGATTATAGGCTTCTTGAAAGGACTGTAGGTTGTTGATTGGATTACCTCTGGGATTTTTTTTTTTGTTTCCTAAATTTTTGAGATAGAGTGTGGTTCAGTCACCCAGCCTGGAGTGCAGTGGTGATCTTAGCTCACTGCAGCCTCAAAACTCCTGGGCTGAAGTGATCCTCCCGCCTCAGCCTCCTGAGTAGCTGGAACTACAGGTACCACGCCTGGCCTTTTTTTTTTTTTTTTTTTTAAAAACATTTAAAATATTTCACGGATTTAAATAGAAGTAAACTTGGAGTTAGAGAACCTAGAGATTCAGAAAATATTTCCTTATAAAACTTTTTTTTTTTTTGAAGGTATTAATAGAATATCTCTTAAAGGGTGGCATTTAATAGAATTCACTTAAACAGGAATGTAAATGATATGTTCTGGAGAACAATTTGACAGAATTTAGTAAGTTTAAGTTCTGTATACCTTCTCACTCAGAAAGCACACAACCTAAACTCTTACATGTATGTACAAGGAGACAAGTACAAGAATGAATGTAAGTATTTTTTATAACAAAAATTTAGAGGCAGAATAGATAACCAACAGAAGGTGAATAGGCAAATGCATTCATATGACAGAATATTTATTGTACAGCAGTGAAAAGTGAATGAACTAGAACTGACTTTTAAACATGGATGATTTTACAAATATGTGTGGGAAAAAACCTTTAGAATCATTAATGTAGTAAGATGCTATTTTTATGAAGTTTAAAACCATAGGCCAGGTGCAGTGGCTCACACCTGTAATCCCAGCACTTTGGGAGGTCAAGGAGGGCAGATCACGAAGTCAGGTGTTTGAGACCAGCCTGGCCAACATGGTGAAACCCTCGTCTCTACTAAAAATACAAAAAAAAAAAAAACCAAAAAAAAAAAAACCAGACGTAGTGGCATGCGCCTATAATCCCAGCTACTCAGGAGGCTGAGGCAGGAGAACTGCTTTAACCCAGGATGCGGAGGTTGCAGTGAGCTAAGATGGTGCCACTGCACTACAGCCTGGTTGACAGAGCAAGACTCCATCTCAGAAAAAACAAAAACAAAACTATACTAAACAATAGTATATGTTGCCCAGACATACATGCATATGTAAAGTAAAAAGAAATTTAAGGGGGACCTTCTGAAACTTCGCCAAACAGTCAAACATAACTTTACCAGTAGTCATACCAGCTGATATTATGTGTCTCCTGATGTGACAGAATAAGTTATTCACATCATCCTCTGTGATATTCTTACTAAAATTATTTAACCTTAGTCTAGGCATGTGGAAACAATCCAGAATCTAGGGATAAGATAGTAGGCCTTGACTGTTCAAAAAAGTTAATGTTATAAAAATACAAAGATGAGGAAAAGTCTTAGTTTGAGAGACTAATGACCAAATATGATGTGGGAAGCTTGATTGTATTTTGAATTGGGCAGCAAATAGATGTAAAATACATTCCCAGGATATTGACATACATTTGAGTATGAACCCTATATTAGACCAAACTTACCCAACCCACAGCCCAGAACAGCTTTAAATGTGACCCAACACAAATTTATAAACTTTCTTAAAACATTATGAGATTTTTTTGTGATTTTTTTTATTTTTTAAAGCTTAATAGCTATTGTTAGTGTCTTTTATGTGTGGCTCAAGATAATTCCTCTGGTGTGTCCCAGGGAAGCCAGAAGATTGGATACCTCTGTATTAGATTGTTATCAAATTAATGCTAACTTTTATAGGTGTCATAAGGGTATCATGATAATATAGGAGCAAGTCCTTATTCTTAGCATAAGTCTTCTAAATTATTGAGGAATGAAATGCCTTGCTGTTCCATTTTTTTGAGACAGAGCCTTGCTTTTGTCACCCAGGCTGGAGTGCAGTGGCATGATCTTGGCTCTGCAGCCTCCCACTCCTAGGCCCCTCCCTACTCATTCTCCCAAGTGGCTGGGACTACAGGTGCCCGCCACCATGCCTGGCTATTTTTAGCATTTTTTTGTTGGAGAATGAGGTCTCACTATGTTGGCTAGCCTGGTCTGGAACTCCTGGGCTCAAATGATCTATCCTCCTCGGCCTCTCAAGTGTTGGGATAACAGATGTAAGCCACCACACCTGGCTGACATTTTCAAATGGTTCAGAAAAAAATGATATGTATATATAAAGCAAATACAGCAGAATTTTAGCAGTTAGTAAAAGTAGATGAAAGATCTACAGTTGTTCATTGTATTACTATTTTTTTTGGTAGGCTTTAAAATTTTCAAAGTAGAAAATTGAGGAAGAGAAAGAAATTCATGGGAATAATCACCAAATTTAGGATAGTAATTTACAGAGTAGGAAGGGGTACACTGGGGCTTCCACAATATTGATAATTTATTTCTTGAGGTGGCTGGTAGAGACATGAATATTCATTGTACTGTCATTTATACTTTTTATGTAGATTAAATATTTCTAATGAGCTTAAAATCAGTTAAAGAAGAAAAAAAGGAAGATTATTATCTTTTAAGCAAAAGGATTTCACCTTTATAAGATTTACACAATTTTCACATAGCTTCATTTCTACAATCACAATAATCCTGAGGTAAACAGGCAGGGTCTAATCATTCTCTTTTTACAGAGGGAGAACCAGCAACTTAGGGAAATCAAAATGGGGACACTAACAGGATTTCTGTGGAAATTTAAGTAAATGAGAATTTATGGTGAATTTTTTATTCTAAAACAAATACCTCATCTTGGCCAAAAATGGGACATTACCCAAGGTCTCCTACTAGGCCAGAGGAGAAAAGCAAGGACTTACCTCCTACAGAGGCACAAACAAGGCAGACTAGGACCCAGCAGTCACCTAAGGCCCAAGGGTCTCCAGTTAGGAGAATGTGAAATGCAAGGATGCGGGACTGCGTAAGGTACAGGAAGAGCAGTAAACAGAAGAAAACAGATGAGGAAGGGGAAAAGCAAGAATTATTAAGCATGGCAGGGAGCAAAGAGCACTACAAAGCCTCAGGATGTCTTCAAGGGATACTGCTGTACCAGGAGGGCAGAAAGATAACAACCACGAGACACCAGGACTACCAATAGGCGTCACAGTTGTCACAACCATCATACTCAAACTGGTCTATAGTCTTGGCCAGCAGACACAGCAAACAAGCCTGCAGATGCTGCAGGCCCTTCAGCACCGTCTCCAGGGCCATCTTCTCTGATCAGGAAGATCATTTTAAAAGTCAGTTTATAATTAGTAATTTATATGTTGATGTCTTTTCTGACATAATTTATTATAGCATGTATAGCTCAGTGTGAGACCTGTAGTAATGGTTATAGGCTTTGGTGACTGACAAACATACCTACATTTAAATCTTGACTTGACAGATTTATAGCTAATGTAGCAATGGGTTAGTTATTTACTTTTTTTAAGCTTCAGTTTCTTGCTCTGTAAAGAGGAGATGACATCAAACCCACACGGTTGCTAGAAGGATTAATTTATGCAATAGATGTTTCACAAAGCTTTTAACAAAATACCAGGTGAGTACTCAGGAATTGTTAGCTATTTTCATGAGCATTAACAATTTTAGAAATAAGATTGACTTTTACTTAGACAATGAACAATAAAACATGTCAATATTGTATTCTTTAATTTCTTTGAAAAGCAGCAATTTTTCTTTTAGCAGCCTTTTAAGTTTACTTTTAATTAATTTATTTATTTGTATTTTTCACAGGTTCTTGAGTCCTGAATTCATTCCTCGAAGGGGAAGAACAGATCCTCTGAAATTTCAAATAGAAAGAAAAGATATGTTAGAAAGGAGAAAAGTACTCCACATCCCAGAGTTCTATGTTGGTCAGTAAGAGCTATATGCTTTTATTATTAGTGATTGCGTGGTTAGTTTCTTAGTGATTGGATGGTTAGTTTTCTTAAAAAACAAAAGAAGATTGTTTTTTTACATATCTGGGTTATGGTCATATGAAGTATTTATTCCTAAATTAAAAGATTTAGGAAGTGAAGAAGTTATCTAGCAATGCTATTTGTTTGTTTCTGCATCTTATATAAAGTTTACTTTTCAGCTGAGTGTGCTGGAAAAAAAGTTCACTTCTCTTTTGAATTTGTAGGAAGTATTCTTCGTGTTACTACAGCTGACCCATATGCCAGTGGAAAAATCAGCCAGTTTCTGGGGATTTGCATCCAGAGATCAGGAAGAGGCCTTGGAGCTACTTTTATCCTTAGGAATGTTATTGAAGGACAAGGTAAGTTTTATTTCATCATTTTCATTGTCTAGAAAATGTTATCTCAGGATTCCTTTTTGTTTCTCCATCCTGGGATAAGAAATCTGAAATTTGAAAGTAAAAGGGGACTCTGAGGGAAGATGTGGA